CCTACAATAGTGGCTCAGTACTTTTTCCGAAAACTGCCTGCTCACTTTACCTACTAGTCTTCTTCTTTCCCAAAATAATTCTTCTCCAAGCATGCATACTTATAGTCTTTCATTGTAGTCCTTTTGCTTCTGCACAAGATCCACGATGTTCTAATTTTTCGGTCTCCCAGACACTGAATAATCCAATTCTTAATGTGCATGCCTTCAAACCATCTGTTTCGCCTACCTTGAGGATTGATGCTCTTCGTCTCTTTGCTCAGCTATATCTCTCCCGATGCGTATGATGTTAGCCTGCAGCAAGAATCCTTATATTGTGCCGTATGCCAGGCTGTTCTGCACTAAAAATCGCCAGTTCAACACCCAGGCACTTCTTGCATCTCAACACAGCATAGATAATCGATATGTTTGTGAGAATCGAATTACCTGTTGGACTTTCACCTCCCCATGATCGCCCAAAGATCATGACCTAAATTCATTTTCTGTAGGCGCTGCCAGTTTCCCTGGCTGACTTTTTCTGAGCAGTCAGTACTTTTCAGCAACCCCAGCAGCCAAAGCTAATCAGAGGGTCACTTTGATGATCTGAGGTGCTGATAAAGCCTATCTGTGTAATCGCCAATTCAAGGACGTATCTGCTCCTCTGTCCATTGACCCACATAGATTCTGCCAACTCTCTTTGAGACGTGCTTTATGACTTTTTCACTTGATGAGCCTAAAGTGTGACATAACCTCCATCTCTGTGTGATTCTTGAAAGTCAAGCATCTGCCAAAGATGATTCTCAGGTACAACAGTCTGCTGTCTCTTTTGACGTCCCTGAAATTTATTTTGAGGCTTGGAGCATTACCTCAAACAATCCTGTTGTTCAAAGGACACCACAGGATCGTTGACTTTTCTGGGTTGATTACAGCATTCATCTCAGTACACCAGTCGATCACCTTATCTCTCTCCCCTTCCTATATATGAGAATATCATCTGCAAATATTTGTATTCTGCCAACTCCAGGTGTTTTTGGGTTCGCAGTCTTGCTCGTAAAAACATTGGAAAAAAAAAAACAAGTGAACTTGCAGATCCCTGTCGTAGTCCGGGGGCTTTTAATACATTGTTCGGAAGTCATTGAACCCAGGCGGAAAGCTACCAGACAAGTATACAAAACAGCCGATATCCAGTTCACCAATCGAGGACTGACGCATTTCTACATAAGCGCTGTCATCAACATACTGTATCTGACTCTGTTGTAAGCATCTTCTAAATCAAGTGCTGCTGCCACCTTTTCGTTTCTGCTCTGGAAACTTTCAAAGGCGTCAAAGGCAAAAGTAGCTGCATTTGAACATGCGTTCTTTCCTGGCCGGTTATTTTCCAAACCTCGTGGAAGGAGATTTCTCTGCTTCAAAAAGTGTTGTAGCTTACTAGCCCCTATCTTCTCCAGCACTTTACCAGAAGTTTTTTTGTCGGGTTATGATCCTAAAGCCGCTGAGCGTTGAATGATCCTTGCCAGGCTTATGAAGTGGAATCCGATAGCTGTACATCCACTCTTGTGGGATTAAAGCTGTCATAATACTCCGGTTGAAAGAAGCAGTCATCTCCTACAGGTCTGCATCGCTTATGTCCTCAAGTGGAAATTTCTATCCCCGTCAGGCCCGGGTGCAGTCTATCATCCTTTTCAGAACATGCTTTCAATCTTCCACATGTATCATGTCTTTAAGATGTTTGTTCTTGATAGTGGCTGCCATATCTTTTCTAACTGTATCACTGTTATCGCCATCATTTTGAGTCTGTGTGTGAAATTAACAACTTCATGAAAGCCTCTCCCTTCTGTTTGTCTGTAGATCATTAGCATACCGCCATCTTTACGAATTGTTCCCACTTCGCTGGGCTGATATTTACTGAGCATCTGCCTAAGTAGCTTCCGAAACTTTCCCAATTTCCTTGAGCCCTAATATAACACAACCTATGGGTTGAGCTGGGTTATTGAGACCTGTCCCTGGGCGATCCTCGTCCGAATTGTGGCATTTTGTGTCACCTGGATTTTATCGCTCGGTGTGGTGTCCTGGTGGAGTTAAACGCCAATCAATCAATCAGCGACGCTGGATTTAGCCTCAGTCGTGCAGACATTCTTGCAAACCACCGGGTGGTTTTGAGTTCGAATTTGTGTCCGGTCCTACATTTATTTATTGACCGGGGTTGCGCAGCTAAAAGTGAGCTTCAAGAAATGTTCTAAGATGCACTATTGGCTGTTGGCGTGATGTTGATGACATCACTCATTATTCATCCTTACCAGCACAGGTATGCTGCTTACCCCGTGATGGTGTGACCGTTACAGTGCCATAATTATAACTTCTTTAGGTTTGAACGAAGTGTCTGAAATCTACCATGCTGGTCTGTCATCCTAATTTAGATTTTTTTTTTTAAATGTATACCTTCAGATAGATCACTCATTTCGTGGTCATAAATATATGGGTCTAGCGAGGGCTTTTTAAATTAAAAAAAAAAAGGGATGCCGGTTTAGACGAAGTGCACAATAGATGCCGGTTCTCACCACAAGGTGTGTGTTACAGCAGTGTTGAAACAAAAAAATTATGCATATAAAAACACAGCCAGGGGAATCGTTGCGTAGCTATAGAATAATAAAAAATAAAAAAAAAACTTCTGACCTACTATTGTATGTTTAATTACTTTGTCCGTAACTGTCAACTCATGATAAAAAACACGCAGGCTGGACTAAGTCACCGCCCTTCAAAATCAAGTCGAGAGCTAAGTCAATGTCACAAAGTCCCAAGTAAAAAGGCAGTTAATTGACGATGTTTTCTTTAAAATCCTAGTAAAAATGCATAAGAGGCTAGGAACCAACAGTCTGCACATACACACGCACGCACGTACACACAAACGCACGCATACACACACACATAAAAAAAAACACAGGCTGGACTAAGTCACCGCCCTTCAAAATCACCAACTCTTTTACGAATGAGATTCTGCCATAGTTCACAACCGGTGAACGCCAAGAAGAAGTATGAAATATAATAGGAGAATATTTTTGAAATGTTTTTTTTTTTAATTATTTCTGTTCAATGCACATAAATGCTTAACACATGAATTAATGCACAACGCTGGAAATCGTAAGACATGAAGCATGTCCACCCATGCCAGTACACAAGACGTTTAAAATGCCTTACAGTGTTGGCCAAAATGTATGTGATAGAAATGTGGTAAACAATAAATACACCTAGGCATAACTGTTCGGATACAATCGTTTTATTTCAGAAATAAATCATGGTAATAAAAAATGCAGGGAAATAGACAATGTATTATTAAAGCACATTGAATTACACAAACAAGTCTCAGTTGATTGTCTCTCACTTTAAAAATTTTTTTTTTTTAAAGTATAAACTTATATAAGATATTTCTTTTTATGTAATATTTTCAAAATATTCTAACAAAATTGAAAGAAAAAAATCCTAACAAAATTATCCCTGATTTTTATTACTTTTATGACTATTCTGCACATCAAGGTCAACTGCAGCTTCACAGCCTTAACTACTACTTCCTGTTGTAAACCTAATGATTAACACAGTTATCCTCTCTGTGTACCTTCCTACGCAATCTTCTGCAAAAACTCAGCACCGTACTCCCAACTCCTTCCACTGCTTAGGTTGAGCTCTGATGACTCTGACTGCTTTAGCATGGCATACGGACTTCTCAGGTTTCTCCCATGGCCATCTTCGGTGTATCCTTCAAGAGGTTCTTAAAATTAAAAGCTCATCACCCAAAGAGAGAAGATTCTCACCAAATACACTCCACTTCTAGCAGATAAAAACTGAGAATAACTTTCCATACCAACAGTATAACAGCTTCCAAAATCTTTCCCACCATCTTAAGATCTTTTGGTTTGATCAAGACATCTAGAGAATATTCAGTGAGAAGCTCAGAGTCATACATAAGTGAAACCAAAAACAAAAATGATATACACATGAGAAGTTGACTGAGGCCAATCCAGGCAGCACCTCCTTTTGATAAAACTGCTCCCACACTGACACACAGCCTGTCCGTTTATGATACAGAAGCTCATGATCTACTTTTTGAAGCGTTTATTCTAAATTAAGGAAACATTAAGGAAACATTTGTTTGTAAATAGCGCAATCTAATTCATGACATCAGCAGACAATGCAATGCAATCATTAGGGAAACCAGTAAAAATCACTGTCAGGAGGATGTTACAATTCATTTCTGGCAATATCTAATTGGTATTCATACTAATCCCCTAAACCAGTCTCTCTCCATTTTAAAATTTGGACTGCTAATGCAAAATTAAAATCTGTGTGATTACCATGAAATCTTACTCTAGATATCAAACCTGTTAATCAAATTGGAGAATTACCTCACTCACAACTTCAGTTTTTTCAGCTATACAGGGACGAATGTTTATCTAATTTGTGTACACTTATATATTACCCTTTTTTTTTTAAGTAATTTTTAACCCCCTCCCCATTTGTTTCGGTTTCCATTGCTTTATGTCCCTAATTTTCGTATTATCATTCTATGTGACCTACTTGATCTTTTTTTTTTTTTTTTTAGGTTTATGGTTCCTATTATTTAATTCACTGAAAATAACTTTAAACATTTAGTTATATAGGTATGTGTCTTTTCCTTTTCCTCTCTTGAGCTTCCTAGTCAACGTTTTTGTCTGATTACTTTACACTTAAATACTTCATAAGTCACTGATCACACATTTACTCAGTCCATACTTGTTCCTTTTATGTTTCCATCTTTCTCCCCATTTTTAAAACCCTTTCCTTCATTTTCCTTCTATACTTTCTTTATTTAATTATATTCTAATAGATTTATCAAACCTCTTGATATGTTTCATTGTCACAGGGTATATAAATTCGTCGGTAATATTTAACAGTTTCTGTTTTGTTTACTCCCTTCTGTGTCCCTTATAGGCAAAATGGCAAACATTAACATATTCCATGCATGCAGCATTTTTCCCCTCCTCCTAAAAATTTCAGTCTATTGTGGGATCTACCCGGCTAGTGCTAGCCAATGCTGGATTGTAGAAGGCATTTATGCGGGCTGCATCTGACTGTCCTGAAACATCAGCACTTGAAGCTATTGTTCGACGGTGAAAGATGTCAGAACTTTCTCCTTCCCAAAGACCTTGCAATTTTCTGCAATAATGAATGTGTAAAGTTAATGACATATTAAAGAACTAACATAAATCTACAACTGTACCTTGTTTAGAGTTTGAACCATAACGGCATAGAAATCTTATAAAGCAAGCAACATTTAGGAATCTAATCTAATGTAACATTAGATGCAAATCTAATGTTGTGGGAAGTGTGAAAATTTCTGACATAATAAGCATATAGTCATTCAAACATTAGGAGGATCTAACATCTGTATTTTCTCCCAGTGTTTACAAACTTGTGGGTGGGATAGGTGATTTTCGGTGATTCTATGTCTCCATTTAACTTACAAGTAATACATAAAAACTAGGACACATATTTAGTAGAAAATTATTCAGTCTTTCAGAGCTGACATTTGTTGGTAATGTTTTCATCATTGTGAGATCAGAAGCACATGTTTAGTTAAATTTACAAGGCTGGAAAGACGACGCAAAGAAGACAGAAATAGTCAACATCGCAAAAATTGTAAAAAAACTGTGTCAAAAGAAGAGGTGGTATCGAATCAAGCTTGGGGAACAAACTCTAGAGCAGGCTATATGCTTTATTAGTAGCAATACATTTGATGGAAGATCTTAGAGAACTTTCGAAAATCCTTAGTCATCGAAATTCTTTACACTATACCCTTTTAGCTTCATTGAGAAGAAAGATCAGATACAGGTTCTGAAAGCTACAGAAGGAATAAGAATTGTACATATTTACAGCTCACTTATCCAGATCATGAAGACTTAAGTGAGGCAGGTTTATTTGAGGGGGTTTGATCATATCTGCAGAATTTAGTAATTAGTTAAGACAATTATTACAGTACTCTGGACATAGCAAAGCAAGTCAGGAAATTCACAGATCTATTGCAAATGTTATACCACACACACACACACACACACACACACACACACACAAAGAATCTTGGAACACCAAATTCATACAGTGGGATAAATAAACATGTCAATTTTGTGGCTAGGGTCACCTTGTTGATCAGTCACATGTTCAGTCAACGTGGATTATGAATAATGAGCAATGAAAAATATGTTGCTTCCCTACCAGGGGAAGCGTGTGATAAGTTTTCCTTATTATCATTTGTGTCTTGAAATCACAGAGCATGCTTCTGCAAATTGAAAATGGCGTCCTTCGAGCAGAGTGCATTGTATCACATGATAAGACTCAGGTCAAGAGAATATATTGGATTTTACTGTCTTGGATGTTCGGATGTGCTAGGTTATGACCTAGCTGATAGAGTACCTGCTGCCACTTCTTTGGGTGCTGAGCTAGGTTGCAATAGACTAGACGTGGTGAAGGTTGTCTGGGATCAGATGAACAATACAGTAGAATAAACAGATATCCATACATTAAAAAACTAATTTAACGGGCGGGGGGGGGGGGGTGGTTAGTGAAAAAAGGAAAAGTGGGGGGGGGGTGGGGATGGGAGCAGAAGCTTTGGAAGACATTCAACACTCAGGAGGAAACATAGGCGGACATTTAATATGGTTGCAACTGGTACTATAAGCATGTCAACTCTTGGCTGGCTGCTGAAGAAGGGAACGAAGCACTTGTGGGAATGTGTGAGTGAAGTCATGTCTATTCTTGATTTATTCGTTCATTTGTATCCTGAATAATACGACTGCTGATCAAATGGTGGGGTGTTCTGTCAGTCATCCCAGCATTTTCTACTTCTGCCTTTTTTTTTTAAACATGTGAAACATTGCTGTGGTTGCAACAGTGAGCAAAAACCCATGGACAAAAGAGTAGATCTTAGACCTATAGTGCAGAATTCTACTGAAACTAATCTCTTGAAAACTCTGTATAACATCACCAAAAGACTAGATCTGAAACCTTCGGCAGAGAATTCTGCTGAAACTTTTCTCTGGAGAACTTCCGTGTGACATCAACAAAAGACTAGATTTGAAAACTTCAGAACAGTATTGTCTCACACAGATCTTTGTGCTGCATCATTAAAAGACTAGACTTCTTTTCTGAAATATACTAATACAAATGTCTGGAGAGCTTCCTGTGTGACATCAACATCGCAGATTTTAATGCTTCCTTAGCAGATGCTTACCAGCCTGATATTGTCTTCATGTAGACTTGGATTTTGTTAATTTACTCAACCTTTGCTTTTAGATAAACTCAGCTTAAAACTGATATCAGTAAATGTCGTTGAAAGGAATAGTTACTGGCTTATTACAAATTTGGTACATGTATTATATATCTAATGTGTTTTATGCTTGAAAAATGATCCCTTATTTTAAATTCATATTTTATTAGAAGCAACATTAGTACATACACTATACATCTAATGTGCTTTATGCTTGGAAAAGGGTCTCTTTTTTTAATACATAAACCAAATATCTAAAGTGCTTTATGCTTGAAAAACGGTTTCTTACTTTAACTCATACTGGAATAGAAGAAACACAGAAAAAAAAAACCATTTAAAAAACGAATACTTACAAGCCTCTTCTCATTTTAGACCTAACTATAAACACGATGATTGCCACAGTTGCCAAGGCCAGTATTCCACATACCACACCCAGAACTATGATGGTTGTGTTAACAGCTGATGAGTCGTCAGCTTGTTTAAATTCCGCTTCAGCATTGGTACAGTTCGGGTCTGATGTAAAATATAAATCTCAGTGTCATGGGTCATGGTGATATGAGTGTATAACGTAAATTGTGGCTCATAATTGAGACTGGTCTACAAGTCAGTCAACTTCAAGATTCTTAGCTAACAATTATAACTATTACCCACTGTCGTCCCCATGTGGGATGCAATTTTTAGTTTTTTTAAAGCGCCAACCTGGCTTTTGCCTGGGCGCCCTAAATATAGCCGGGCCTTAATTTGGCCTGACGGCTGAACAGTGTTTCCGGGACCTCTCCACGGGTGATTCTCATCCGCATGGTGGCACTTTGTGTCACCTGGTGTTTGTCGCTTGTGTGATGGATGTCCTGGATAGGTAACATCTACCTACCTACCTACCTATCTAACAATTATGAATTATTACTATATCTAAGTAATGCATTTCATAGCCACCATGTGAGTCATTTAGGAAAAAAAACTGATTTGTTGTTATTAGAAGATTGAAAACTTGACCTATAAATCACAATGTAAGGTAAACAAATAACCTATTCCCCTAACTAGAGGCATTTTAAGCATATGGTGCTAGCACAACATGTTTAAAGATATGCATTGGCATTATTGTGGGGCAGGTTGTTTCCAGAACGTCGCTCTCATCATGGTCTGCCTGAAAGAAACTCGGTTTCTTGCCAGCTATCCTGCCTCGCGGTAACATATCTTGTCCTACTCACCCCTACCTAATCCTGGTACCATATCCTGTGACCATGGGCAACATATTTCATTTGTGCACGTCCGTATGTTCGCTACTTTTCCTAGGCAGGAATATGTATATAAAAGCCCATCTCAAATATCATCACGATCACGTCCGTAGAAAAAAACTCTCAAAACACAAAAAGAAAAAAAACATTATAATATCTAGTCGATTAATAGATGTTTTTTACAGATAGGTAGATTTCAAACATGAGTTAGGCTATGGGTTAGAAGCACACAAAAGACCAGCAAACAGAACCCACACAAGCTGGGAAACAAATCAGGTGACAGCGTCAGAGTCAACAGGTTATAGTGGGAAGTCACTGTACTATATTCAAGTATTTATGCACCGGTTTCCTTTCTATTTATGTTATGTTGAGGTTTTTTGGTGATGTGTTGTCTTGAAGTTGCTGATGGTTAATTTCGATGTTTAATAACCAGGTTTTAGTCCGAAAAGGGCAAATCTCATCAACAGTTTCTAAAGGGGAGCTGTTTAATATCAGTATAACTATCAAAATGCCAGTTTGAGTTCAGTGGAAAGTTCCTACCTAATATAATGTAATTACTTTTGTTGTTTACATATGACATAATCTATTGGGGGTGGGGCAGAATTAAATTGTTAATTCGATTGCTTCTGTATATTTCATCGTCACTTTATGGATCTGCATTTGAAGTTTAAAGCAAAATGTGGTAAATTCAATTTATTTTATTCCGCTTGTGTCTTCTGGGGCTCCATTTTGGGAGAAACAAGAATGGACCTAATAAATCCTTAGAAGGCATGCCGTAAAAGGAAACTATTTAAGGGCTCTTTTTTAAAAGTTAGAGTGGATCTTTTTGAGAGCAAGGAAACAACGGTATATACAAATACCAGATCTGTAGAACGAATGTGGGCACAACATTCGCGTTTCTGGAACAGGTTTAAAACTCCAGAAGTGGACGAACAACAAGAACATTTCGCTGGAGTTAACAGCTGGTGAACGCAAAAAAAAAGACAAAAATATATGATTTATAAATGCACTCTTTACCTTTTACTTTAGTCCATCTCTGAATACTGACATCCGGATCACATCTATAGCAGGCATCACCCCCGAATGGTTCATAGCGAGCATAACACTGATTGTCTATAACACAGGAGCCAGGCTGAAAGTAAATAGTTTTCCATTGAACCGACATTAAAATTTTAAATTCAGTAAGTGATGCACTGATAATCTTCTTCTTTGCGTTCAATAGCTGTAAACCCCAGTGGAAAATTCTGGGTGTTTGTCCACCTCAGGACTTTAGTTTTGTTCCAGAACCTGAGTTTTGCGCGTACATGTTTCACAGATCTGGCTTTTTTTGGTGCAGACTTTTGGTCCCTTGCCTCCCCCGGCAGATGTACTCCGACTTTGAAGGATACCCCTAATTTGTCGACTCCTATGACATGGTTGTTGGGGAGGCACTAGGCCTCTTCTTGTTTTACCTACAACAGGCCCGGGAACCAATACGAGGAAGGCACTGAACATTAGTCTGAACTGTATATTATTACTGTCATTATTATTACCTAACTGCTCTCTGCGACGCTTTATAACATAAATAGTTAGACGACAGAAGAAATAAAAAAAGTTTGAGGATTGAAGAAAAAAAAAACACACACACACACAAATTTTAAAAAATGACACCACGTGTTTGAGACCTAAACAAGAGTTCATTCAACACCCCTATTATTATTATGATGCTGCATGAGAATTTAGGAGAGAGAGAGAGAGAGGGGGGGGGGGAGAAAAGGAGAGAGAGGGGAGAAAGAAAGAAAAAGAGAGAGATAGATAGATAGATAGATAGATAGATAGAGAGAGAGAGAGAGAGAGAGAGAGAGAGAGAGAGAGAGAGAGAGAGAGAGAGAATGCAGGATCTTTCGGTGTCCTACCTTCCAAGTGCAGGAAACACCATTAATATTCTCTGCCACAGTGCAAGCCTGACATGTTGACTTCTGGACAACATGAATGTGGCTGTTGCCACTGTATTGTACACCATTGTTGCTAACAGTAACTATGGCACTGCGACTTGGTAAGGATGGTGGAGTATTCTCTGGGCAGACAACTTGTATCATGCTGATATAGCTTGCAGGAACTGTGTATACCTCTGCTGTTTCAGAAACTTTTTCACCAATCTGGAAATTAAGTAGAAAGATCAGCACATATGAGGAAATTTAAAAATCCTGGTGATGGTTAAACAATATGTTGAGGAAACCTCTTGACACAATTTCGAAAAGGTAACGCATTGGGGCCCAGCTACACGATGATTGGACGTTCATTCATGCCTGTTAACCTTTGAGACGCGCACGTTTAAGTGGGAGGAATGTCAGGTTGGTGCAACGTTGTATTGTCTTGACGGTTTTACCGGCGACCACGCATGCTGTATATTAGACGATGTGAGTGGTTTTAACGACCTTGCTATATGTACAGCTGACGCTAACACCAACCCACCTACACCAAACTCTGAACCATAGTCCCATGAGAGAATGCATTCTACACCCCTCTAACGTAGACCAGCCACACTAATCATAATCCCAGGTCAGCTAGTGTGTAGCTGCGTGGAGCTGGGCCTGAGTTCGTTTCTAGTTCCCACAATTTAAAACAAAATTGTTGTGAAATTAAGTGTAAAAGATTGTAAGCAGTTAACAATGAAAACAAGATAATTTATAATATTGGTGGTCAACACTGAATAGTTTCCATAGTTTTCTGTACAAAGTACCGATCGTCTCAACCATGATGTACCCCATTGCCATCCTTACCAACAGTCAGGAATTGCAAACAATGACCATCGTGGCATAAAGCACACATAACAGAAGAAAGCATAGTAGTAGCCTGAGAGTTGATATTGGCTAACGTAGGGTCAGATTATAATGAAAGCCAAGCGGGGTCTGGCTGCGATGAAAGTGATGGCGGCGGCAAAATGTGAGCAGCGTCATCTGTGTCTTCTTTGCCAGGGTCTGGTCCTTTCTTTCTGTTTTTGAATACGCGATGGCGATCCTGACTCTAAAGGATGATGCAGTCATTTACACATATGGTTCTGTCATCCGCCATGTTGGAAGCTCGTGGGCTTTCACGGCTCAGTTTGGAGTTAGAGTTGTGAAGGAAGATTCTGGAGCTTTTGCCGTAACTACAAGTAGTCTGACTATGGAGGTCATGGCTGTGACTAAAGCAGTAACATGGCTAGAGACACAGACTTTCACTGGGGTATGCTTTCTCGGTGACTCGATGAGTATGCTTAGGAAGATAGAGAAGTGCTGGGTCCGAAGTCAGTGGTTGGTGGCTCTAGAGAATTCCCGGCTGACAAGGATTAGTTTTATTTTCATGCCAGGATATGTGGGGGTATAAGGAAATGAGAAAGCTGATAGGCTTGCAGGTAAGGCTATTGTGAAAGCCGGACAAGCCGTGGACCAGGCTGATATACTGAATGCTCTAAGAGAGTTAAGACGTTTGCATCAACCAACTGAGAACTGTGAATCTGCAACCATGGTCAGACTGCAAGAAAAACATGTTAAACTTTGGTGCTGCCAAAGAATAACACTACACCTGGTGTCGTTAGCCGCTACACGCTGCTGGATTTACTGAGGAGGGGATCCGAGCACTAATGCACTGAGTGGTTCGACGTTCAATGATGATAATCTGTCAACTAACTAACTAGCGTAGGGTGCAGAGGGCACTGTCAGACTAATATGTGAGCCCATGGTTATATCAATCATGGGCAAGAATATACTTGAGTTCCTCGCAGCCATCTTGCAATATTTGCCAAAAGACGCAAAGAGTAAACCCCGCAGTACTAGATGCAGAGTTTATTGCCGTTATTAATTAACTGTGATAATGACACAGCCTGCTGCACTGACAAGATGTTCAGCATCAATCGGTTTAGTTCTTTTTTTTTCTAGACCCACTGACATGGAAGTGTTGAAAGTAACAAATGGATTGTGTTGGCTTGAACTATACCATCGTTTTCATACTAAGTGATGCTCTGAGCATAATATGAAGAAAAACAACTTGAGCAGGTTCATACACTGGAATTAGCTATACTTCTTGCAGAGATCCACGGTAATTTTATAAACAGAGCATACATCTGTGATGGGTGGTGAAAGACAGATTTGCTGACTGACTCAGTCAGCTTCCATGTCACTAAGAAATCTGTTTATTAAAATCACCCAGAGCAAATCCGCCTTTCCCCTCTCCGCCCTTTCCGCACCCAGTGCCTCGGAAGGTAATCATCACCAGTGGTGATAAGTATAGGTGACAAGGATTCGTTATTGTACATGATAATAAGAATCATGGATCAGATTAGCGCTCTTGAACTACCCCAGGCATGTAGATAAACCATCAGGGTGTTTATTTCTTTGCCTTCTCCCTACCCTCTGTTCATCACTTTTGCTGTCTGTTACTTAATAAAATCTCGAGCATTTTCTTTTGTTTACAGAGTACCTTTTGTAGTTAAACTTACAAAAAAAATGTGCAATGGCAAATGTTCTTATGTCATGTCTCTTCTTTCTTCTTTCGTAGTAAACCCTGGTCACATGGACAAATAGAGATTCTCAGCGCATTTGCACTTACTTTGTTCCGGACTAATTTCATCAGACAAGATTGTGTTGTCTCATTATGTGCATCACGAATGGCAAATGTTAGCTTTTTTTTTTGTGTGTGTGCTAAGTCGTGGCGATGTCCAAGTTATAGACTGTACTGATCATCCGGTGGTCAGTGCGGTTATTATGGCTGTTTTAGAACTAGTCAAGGGAGAGTCCAGAAGCGATGACAGTAAGGCCATGCGATGTGCATATCGCAAAGATGACTCCGTAACTCTGTCAAAGTTGGTTTGAATGGCCTGGTTCTGTCAGACATGAAACTTCATCTAACATCACTAGACATTTGATTTTGTTCAACATAGATTGGGCCTTATCAGTCATTTCGTTTTTGTAAGGCTATTATGAAGAAGACTGGAAGCACTAGTGAATCTGTCTAAACTGCTGTGAATGATCGTCATCCCTCACTAATCACAACATAGTTAAGATAATGTTGTAAATAAGACACTTTGAAACTGAGTTGTCTAGTGTGTTTTTTAATCTTCTGTCTAGTTCAGCTTCATACATTGTTTTAAGAGTATCTTTGGTGCTTGAAATATCAGTGACAAATAGCTGCGCGATGTTCCCTTGAACCTTTACGAGGCCTCTTTATAAAGAAAGGCGATAAATTCAATATAAAAATCAACCGTATTAAAATGTGCTATGCCTTCATTAGTTACATGTCTCTTGTTGCTTGCTATACTTTTACTGAACATATCGATCCCAGTATTTCTTGACCTTTTCTGTGTGTTTTTATTGTTTTTGTTTTACTAGTAAGAATTTTTTAATGTTCAGAAATTTGCCATGTGTTTTCTGAATAGTTCACCAGTCATACCATTATCGAAAAATGAACATACAACAACTTGCTTTCAGCTTGCACTTACTGTAATATATCTAATGTTGCAGGTGAGATTGCCAGTGGGAACAAAGTTATTTCCCTCAACTAATATTCTGTTACAAGAAGATGCACTCAAATCACACGTTTCTGTGGCTGGTAGTACTGTTGGTGTAGTTGTTGATCCAATCTGGCAGGTGTCACCAATCCAGCCATCATGACACTTACAAATACCTGTGTTTTACAATCAAGGACTTTTAAAATGAAAATTTAAATGAAAAAAAAAAAAAATACGGAAAAAAAAGAAGAAAGTTCCAAAGTAATGTCACACTGATCTTTCTGACATATTTTTTAAATTAAAAGTAACGGCTTCTAAAGCTATTACGTTGCTATTTTCTTTTCATTTTCATTCACTTCAGGCACATAAATCTTTTCCCTTCGGTTTTCAAAATAAAATAAAATACTCTGTATAAAAATTAACAATCGCATTACCTGTTCTAACAGTCTGATCGCTTGTTTTCTTTAGCTTTTATAAAATCATAAATAGATATAAATATAGACGTATTCACAGTTATATGCTATTGTAAATATCTTATTTTCTATCGGCTGTCGACAAAAAAATTTTTTTTTGTGATTTTGGTAATTATATTTTAGCAGTGTATTCATAATTACGCTCACTTTATATCCAGAAGCTATAAACATTAGTGCATTAACTTTCTTTTGTCTAAGCTTGCATATATTCCATTATGAACTCCGGCCCAATATAGGACGCACATTTGTGTTATTCTAAAGCCCCACACCGGCTGTTGTCGGGATGGGAGTGGTGGGGGGGGGGGGTAGTGGTCCTTAATATAACCCAACGTTTGAACGGGGATTCTGGGACTTGTATCCGGGGGATCCTCATATAAATGGTGGCAGTTTGTGTTATCGGGTGTTTATCCCTTGTTATGCGGTCCTGGTATGGTTCAATGTCAATCATTCATCCGCATGGATTCAAGACATCCTTTTTTTTCTAAACATAAACCTTCAGTTTAGTTGATGAGGCTCTCTCTTTGTGCAAAAAACTCTTTTAGAGATATCCACCACATTTTCTGGACAGAACACGTACTATTTCTTTATAGGAATTTACTTAAATTGATAGAATGTATTGAAACGAGCTGACTTCAGTTAAGCAATGGAAGTTTAAAAAAAAAAAAAAACAATAGGAAAAACATAAAGGTGTGTCAGCCCTACAAAATCAAATAGTCGTTTGGAGTAAATCCTTGTTTGTGTTGGTTAGATGATAACTGTTGCAATATTCTTTGTTAATTGTAATTATTTTAATAAAAAGATATATATATATATACTTATGTTTTGCCAGGACTGAAACCTACAATTGCTCCCAACAGTTTATATCAAGCACACTAAGTACTAAATCATCTTACAACAAAAAAGACAAGCAATGAAAGACACCTAAAAACCCATTAGCTGTAGAAAGCACTGTGGCTTACGCAAAAAGAAACAATGCAGAAAGAGACAACATCCTAAAAGAAGATGATCTAAAATACACCGAAAGGGTTTAATGATTTTTGAGATCATGTAACCAGTTGTTTATTTCATCTCTGAATGTAATGGAAAATATGAAGACACTTTAAAAAGTGTACGTTAGTTACTGTTAGATTCCTCATTTTAAAGACAAAATCCGTACCAGAAATGATTGGCGTATTCCGTGTGGGTTTTCGAGGCCATATTGTGGTGGGATTAGGTGGGGGGGGGGGTGAGAGAAAGAGAAAATAGATATATTGTCTTCCTAACATGCATGTCGTTAAAGACGACTAATTAGAAGTTTCCTTTAAAGAACAAGTGCATTTGCCTGAGAGACAAAGAACCAAAACTTTGCACACAAATTAGCCAGATCTATAAAAAGGATGTGCAAGCAAAACTCAAGTTCTGGAACAAGGCTAAGGTCAAGAAGAAGAAGAAGAAGAAGAAGAAGAAGAAGAAGAAGAAGAAGAAGAAGAAGAAGAAGAAGAAGAAGAAGAAGAAGAAGAAGGAGAAGGAGAAGGAGAAGGAGAAGGAGAAGGAGAAGGAGAAGAAGAGAAAAATTGACAGTGATTTAGACAGAAAACTAGGTTACCAAAGCATAAGGAAACTGATTCGTGGACTGTTGCACTCTTAAACAGGGCACATAGTCATGATATTATTTGTCTCATGGAGTAATTAAAGCTGATGGCTGTTACTCACTGTTTTCACAAGAACCATGTTCGCTGCAGTTTTGTGTACACAAAGATTTGGTGATATAAGCTGGGACATTGGGACCATCAATATTCTCATTGTTCTCCCATGTTGTAGCATTAGCCTGAACATCTGCTAAGCATTCTAGAATAAGGTCGTCAACATGCGCAGTTGCCCACTCTGTTTCGTTTAGAGCCTGAAATGACAGGACACAGAATGTTGCAGATTCATTCCAATCAATCTTGGTATGGAGACAGAATTGGATGATGATACAAATGATGAAGGAACATAGGTTTGCATTAACACAGATTTGCTTAAGAAAATCACTGTTACAATGTTTTAGAATGCGTTATTATCCTGTTGTGGCATTATATGTCACCTAAAACTCACAGTCTTTACCTCCATCGCAGTCAATCCTGTGTAGTCTGTTCATTATCATTGATGGAGTCCAGTCCAGCAGGTTTGGCCTCTTTTCAACGTTCGTCTTAGGATTTCTTTTGGGCGTCCTCGCCTCGGCAATACCTTTGTTTCAATGTTAATGCCTGTCTGGTGGTTCTCTTCTGGTTTCTTCTCAGAATGTGTCCATTGTAGCACCACCTTCTCAGTCTTATAACTGTTTAGAATAATAGTTGCCCACACATTTATCTTTTATCCTTACCCCTTTTGAATTCATCACAATTTATTGTCATTATTTTCCCCAGTCATTTTTTTGCATTCGACTTTAGTTCCCGTCTTTAGTGGTTCTGCAACTTCCACAAGAGTAAAGGAACCTTTTTCACGCCTTTTAGGCATATTGGGCACATAGGGCTAGACCTATATTTTATAGACCAATGGCACTTGGTGGGTGATATGGTCAGCATCACGCCGGCCGCCTTTACTTCCCAAAACTGCACCTGATACCCACTCAAGGCTGGGTCGACCTGGGAGCCAAGGTCATTTTTGAAAAAAGTCCGGCTTCCCGTCAGTAACCAAATCAATGACCTTCCGATCCAAGCGAGCGTCTAGCCGGTAGACCACGGTGGCACCCCGACTTCCACTTGCATTTGTTAAAAGTGAAATACGTACCTTGGTTTTAAAACTATACAGTTTAGAGTTCCATATGTAGTTTAACTATGTAGGAACTAAAAGTCTGCATACAAATAATTGAGATCGGATGTATAGAAGTGATGAGCACACAAACCTCAAGCTCTAGATCAAGACCAAAGTCCAGCAGTAGATGAACAACCAACACTCCATTGGAGTTTACATCTGGTGAACGCAAAGAAGAGGAAGATTGCAATTACTAACAACTGCAAGTTTTAAAATTACATGTCACACTCATATGAGGAAGGCAATACAAACAGAAAACTTACCACCAGATCTTCAGCACAGTTATAAATACTTTCGTTCAGAGCATCGTCTCGAAGATGGTTCAGACAATGTTGAATGACTGGGCTATTTTCTATATAGTTCTGACAATATTGTAGTGCAGTTTCTTCTGTAAACACATTTTCATCATTGAGGACAGCTGGATTCTGTTAGGCAAAAATCAGACAGTTCATAATTTTGTTTCTTTAAAATAAATATAAATCAGGCAAGCTAATCTGATTGTGTGTCTGTCTCACTTACACATACATATTGATGTGTAGCACACTGTTGATTGCTCAACTCACTTTGCTCTATAAGTGTACATATGAGAGCAGATATTGGTGGAAAAGCCAGGCTGACCTGCGGGAAAAAAATATCAAGAGTACTGCTATCAAAAGAAAGGCAAGATCATATGCTACTGGTGACCACATGAGTGGGCTGATTTGCCGAATGCGTCTTGTGGGTAATCGTAACGTTGACCTCCCTACTCCCCTCCCATATACACTAGCTCATTTCTGATTTGTAGTTCCTGAAGCTGTCACCTTGGCCCAAGGTTACGGGGGTGTTCCGCAATGCCATTGATATCGCGTGTTGTATATTTCAGCAAGCCAGCGCTTTTAACACTTTAAAAACATGGAGAAACTGGTCCTAACACAACCTCTCTAGAGAGTGCTGCAACCTATGTCACAGACATTCTCTTTATCTGATAAAAAGTAAATGCATGACAACACAGAAAGCAAACAGTAGAGAGGGACACACCTGTAACTTTCAGGAAAGTCAATCAGCCCAACAAACTTGTAAATGAAAGGTGACCTACTCTATTTAGGAAGATTAACGTAAATCTAACCGTCTTGTGATTTGGACTCACGTCAAGTCATGACTATGTGCCGCCTTTTGAGACAGCGCCACTTTTAGAGTCTGTTAGAATGTATACGTGGCAGAATTTAATAGACATACAGTGTTCAGTTATTTGCCACCAGTGTGGTATCCTTATATGTTTGTCCATGAATAAACTCGACTGATGCACTAGCACAGTTGACTTTTAATGGTCTATTTAGTATCAATGTTTATGCTTTGTTATTATAATGTTGGTGTTACGATGCCGCCTATGTGTACCTGTGCTACCTATGTATTTTCCTGTAGGGAAACCAGTCGTCATCGTGACTGTCGATTAAGGAACTTTTGCATGTTTGGCTGACGCATAATCATCACACTAGTTGATATTTTTCCCAAGCATCCGATGCCTACCCCTCATTCCGCATATTACACAGACACACACAACTGCAATTAATGTATTTTCGTCTCTTTCTCTCTCTCTCTCTCTCTCTCTCTCTCTCTCTCTCTCTCTCTCTCTCTCTCTCTCTCTCACTCACTCACTCACTCATACATGACTGCGTATAAACGCATGCTTACACACATACACACTATAGTGAATCACGTAGTCTTGTTTATTTATCCCTGCTCCCAAAAATCATGCTGTAAAGAGTGACTAAGGCTTTGCTTGAATAGGGTATGTTTATCTGAGCGAGGTAGATATTGCGTCTTAGCTGTAAACCACAACACAATATATCAAACACCCATCTGAAGCAAAAAAAAAAAGAAGTTTTATACTAACATACACTATCACTCTAATATTTATGAAGATCATGTTCAGACGCCTATGTTCTCACACTTATTGCATGTACCTACGCCGTACATACTTGTGCATGCTTGTACATTAAAAAAAAAAACACACACACACAAACCGACATTTAACTGAACAGAGAAATAAATAAACTGTAAAATAACTGAAAAAAAAGAAGAAATACATGAAACGTAAAATAGCTGACACATAGAAATAAATGTAAAATAATTCAAATAAAAAAAAGAAGGTAAAATAACTAAACATAGAAATTATGAAAATGTAAAATAATTGAAAAGAGAAACAGATAACATGTTACATAACAAAACACGTCAGTGAATACAATTTAAAATAATAAATAAAATACAAAACAACTGATAGAGAAATAAAAAAAGATGAGAAAAAGTGTCCTGCAATATCAAAATGTAACACCTAAAAAATGAATTAAAACGCAAAGTTAGTGCAGGTGACAGATTAACATAATCTTGAAGAACCAACAAGTGTGAAAAGACCATTTGTTTGAAATCGTCTCAATTACCTGGACATTTGTCGTATCCACTGCTCTTCTACCTCTGCTGGGAACTTGGTTTACAAGAGTTCTGACTTGACCTGCTGGGGTTTTTGCTTGGCTGACCAGCGTTGCTGTTATATCCGTCCCTTTTGAGATTTAAAGGTTGTAGAGATTACATAATATCATCATCCCTTTGTGGGATGCAATGTTTCGTTATTTTGAAGCGCCATCCTGGCTCTTGCCAGGGGCCGCAATAAAGCCGGGACTTAAATATGACCTAACGGCTAAATGCAGTTTCCAGGACCTCTCCACGGGTGATTCTCATCCACATGGTGGCACTTTGTGTCACCGGGTGTTTATCGCTGTGTGATGTCACGGTGGGGTAAAATGTACTTTTACTACATTCTAGTTTACAGTTGTACTTCTGTTTGCACGACAGTAGTTTGGGTTCACTTCCCAGGTGTAACAGTATTTTGTTTTGTACTGCCTGATCAGTATGGATTTGAAGATTACTGAACCTCATAACAGGAGCGTTAGATAATTTCAGGCAATTATCCATGCTGAAAAGGTATATGTGTGTGGGGGAGAGGAGGATGGGGGTGGCTTTGGAGAAATTTACTGTCTCCTATATTTTCTCTTACATAATCCTAAAGCATAATTTAAATTATTTTGATAATGTATAAAACTACACATACTTTACTTCTAAAGGTTAAATAAAGGGGAGGGGAAGGGATCGACTTCATTGCACTTAGATTGTATCCCATATGGCTCTGATTTTCTCCAAAGAGTGGCTAGCTGTGTGTCGAGTAGCTCGCGACAAGGACAAACTTCGTAGCTCCGGCAATGATCCCAATGAATCATCTTATAAATTGCAACCCAACTGACACCATGAAATAAACCTATGACCTCCAGAGCGTGAGCCAAACGGCTCCTTCTCTTCTTCCCTTCTTCAGTTACTTCATTGAAGTGTTGGGAGGAGATGTAAGGATCTTCAGTGAACCTTTTCCAAATATTTATATAAGGTGATATCAAATTTTTTACTGTTGTTTATTAATTATGCAAAATTTCCATCTTGTGCATCGTCTACCCCGTGCTTTGTTTCCATTATATTTCTTCAGCAAAGTGTCTCTAAAGCAGTTGGTTTCAAGGTATTCTCGTCAGATCTTTAAACCAACTCATCTGTTGCTCTTTAATTAACTGTTTATTAGACTGGTTGACATAAGTGTGATATAAATCGATTCCTGAGTTTAACTATTGTGGAGCTAAATTTAAGGAGTCGACTTTAGCTTTAGCTCCACAGTTGTTAAACTCTTGCATAAATCCCTTACATGATAATTACATGAGAACATCAGGCCAAAACTGCCTCTTATAAAATGAAAAAAATCCATGTCATTGGAGGTTAGGAAAAGAAATCTCTCGAGCTATATAGAGCCAGTTTTAACATACAGCTGTGAAGCCTGGACAATAATTAAACAAGTTGAACAACGTATTGAGGCCTCGGAGATGTGGTTTTTACAGAAGACTTCATAGAATTCTTTGGACATCTAAGAAGAGTAACCTTGGTGTTTTGAAAGAGGCAGGTGCTCGAAGACAACTCATCACACACATCAGAAAGAGACAGACATCATTTGTTGGTCATGTTATGAGAAAAGTGAAAATGAAACATGTTGTGACCAATGGAAAGATCTGTGGAAAGAGAAACAGAGGAAGACAGCGTGAGAAGATTCTTTATAGTCTTCTGTCATAACATTTAGGCGTGTCAACACACGAACTGATACACGCAATTGCGGATCGCAGATTGTGTAGAGACATGATCGTTCACGCCAGTCGACAAGCCACTTGGTGATGATGGTGTTGATGATGATGGTGATGATTATATTTATGATGATGAGAATGACGACGATGATGATGATAATGATGACTAATTTCGGGCCTACTTTTCTACTAGTTTTTATCTTTTCTTGATACATTCAGCTCTTGAGCGTCACCTCTTCTGCTCTCATGATATTGCATTCATTAGTTTGATTAAGGGTCTGTGTTTGGCACTGGTAGCGTAAAGATGACCAGAAATAGTTCTTATTCTCATTAGATGTCCCTTGTGTTGCATCACCACTTTGAGAATTCATTACAATTCTGGCAATTCCCTGAGTTAATCCGGAAGACCGGCCTGCGACCTGACATAGTTCTCCACTCTGCGGAGAAACGGCAGCTCATACTGATTGAGCTGACCGTCCCGTATGAGTTGCGTATGGACGAAAATCACATGTATAATTTCGAGAAATACTGTGATTTTGCAGCCGGTCTGAGGAGAGACGAGGCGTACACAGTACGTGTCTTTGCCGTCGAAGTGGGAGTGAGAGGTCTCGTCTCCACTTCACTCTACAATGTGGTTAAAGAACTAGGATCGCGCGGTAATGAATGGAAACGGACACTTAAACGGCTGGGCGAGGTTGCTGAGAGGGCCTCGAGCTGGCTTCGGACGCAACGGAACAACGTAGGGGACGGGCCTCGGTGAGCTGTTCCGGGTGTCTAGTGGAAAAGGGTTTCTCATCCCTTGAAAGTCCATCGTGTCCGAATTGACTGCCAGTGTTCCTCTGCCACCTGCTTACAAGTCCAACATGTGTCCGGTATACCAATCGTAAGCTTGTCGTTCGGTCGTCCAGGTATGCAGACTGCTCTAATTATGCTACCGCGACGACTTCTTATCTCACAGTACCTTCTGCAAATCACCAATTCGTCTTGTCCCTATCCGGAAAGAAAGCACCATCCGGTAATTTCGTGCAGCAGGGAAACCAACCCTGAGCTTCATGAACTCAGGTGGGCCCACCTCCGAATGCGTCTAGGAATCGTGGGCCGAAACGCGTGTCGACGAGGATAATTTCTACTGATGACTGGTAGATCCCTGCTGTACTTGCTCCCTGTGAGTTTATTCCTATATGTCTGCGATTTGTCTGTCTCCGAGACTGTTAAATACTGGTGTTGGTATTACAGGGGATGCCTCTTGTACACTTCGGGGCAATGACTACAGATACGGCAGCGGTGGCGACAAAGAGAAGTAGAAGACGGGATATTAAATTTAGGGTTTTAATTAAATCCCTATTTTCACTATGTCTACATAAAGGGCAGCGGTGGAGACGAAGATGAAGTAGAGGACAGGAGAATAATATTTTCTTTCACTATCCCAGGTAAAGCCAGTCAGTTATATCTAATTATTTATATAAGTGTGGCAGAAAACCCCATGTTCCTCTAAAGTACGCCTAAAAAATGGCAGAGCTCTCACTATCTATATGAGTGTTAGAAACAGCCTCATGTTCCTTTAAAGTATGCCTGAAAAATTCTCTATATTATTGTGACAAAAAGCCTCATGTTCCTTTAAAGTATGCTTGGAAAATATCAGAGCTCTCATTATCTATATAAGTGTGCCAAAGAGCCTCGTGTTCCAGTAACGTATGCCTGACAAATGGCAAAGCTTTCATTATCTTTATTGACAGATAGTCTCGTGTTCCAAATACGTATGCTTGAAAAATGGCAGCTTTTGAAAAATCTTTCTAACAAGTGGGTCGCATTTTCGTATGCATGAATGAAAGTTTTCACCATCTCCTTCTGTTTTTATCACCACAGTTTGACAAAGGCTGCCCGGCCGAAACGTTACATTATTTGTGTTGTTTTGTGCACATTTTTGTGCTTGTCCATTTTGTTGAGCTTTTTAGTCAAATTTCTCTGGAATTCCCTCATGACATATCCATAGGTGCTCTGATCTCCCTCCCAGCAAGTCCACAAGAGTAAAAAGACTAATCACACTCGTTCTGTGATTAAACAGACGTCTAATGCCCTTGATGAAATGTTCATGTTTGGCAGCTCAAGGTTGGTCATAGTAACCGCATTGTCCAGCAGATAATCTGCACGCTCATTGTTTTGAACACCCGCGTGTCCCAGCACAAAGATATTTCTGTAAGCTTCACCATGATCTGTGCAACTTACCTGATGTAACTCCACTCGGACATCTGTAAACATCAAGCCCAGGTTGACAGACTGGCTGCTGTCCACTTTGACAGGAACAGAAAGTGGGTCTTGCAGGAACAGGAGTTGTCAATGCTGGGACACCTTTGAATATTGTTACATTACGTCTGGGAAATGGAAGATAATAATAACAATTAGAAAAAAAAAAAAACTATGTACCTTATTTCACTTATGCTTCAAATAATAACCAAACTTCAAAAGGTGTGATTGAAAATACAATAATCATATCCTGTAACCAGTCAATTGTTTTGTTAAAGTTGTCAGAGTGTTATGCACGTGGCATCATCGTGTAGATGAACACAGTAGTATCCTAGTGCCAGTTTAAATGTGGCCAACCTACTCTTGACATGCATTAAAGCAGCACTGTCGTCATATTGTCTACAATGGATACATTTGTTGGTTTCTAAATTATGAGAATCTATTTAATTAATAAAATATAGAGGTAGTTTTACATCATTTATTCCTGCTTGAGTGTGATTTGTTAAATCTAAATGTGTTTTAAGCCATGACATACAAGGGCTAAGCTAGGTCAGAGATGCTAGGCTGGATTTCATCAGTTTTATCAAAAGGACTTCACTGAACAAAGAGGAATGGACTATTAGACTATGCGTTGACTAGACTGTTAACCCTATAGACATATAACGACTCATCAGGATAATTATGACATTTCCCTTCCTAGAATATTGCCTGAAAGGTTTGATAATTATCTGGTTTTTGTATTGACTGAGCTTCACCATGTGGGTTCTGGGGCCTAGTGTGGGTGAAAATAAGAACAGACCCACATCATCTGTCCAAGCGGGAAGGAACAACCAACTGCACACAAATAAGCCAGTAGAACGTATGCACACGAAAAACTGACGCCCTAGCACAAAGCCAGTATCCAAATGAATTAACAACCACGACTTTTCGCCGTTGCTCACAGCAGGTTAATTAACAAGGAAGAAAGAAGAAGGCGAAGAAGAGTATGACCTCAGAACTGTTTGAAAAAAAAAAAGGTTACAAATAAATGTCTGAAAGATTTTAAAAATATACAGCGTTTTATTTAAGTCAGCCGTAAAACTATATGAATGTATATAAGCAAAGCACAAGAAAAAGCAAGTGAAATAGCAACATTGGCAAAAATATGTAAATAAAAATGTAAATTATACGAAATATAATATAAAATATATAAGTGATAAAACCTGAAAAAAAAAAACAAAAAAAACAACACCATAACTGATTAAATAACACCATTGAAATAATATCGAGCAAAATACCCAGACAGTTCTGCTTCTTCTTCTTCTCATCTTCCACCTTGTACCTCAGTGAAGTGTCGGGGGAGATGTAACGTTCGTTAATGAGCTCTGTCAAGAGCACTGTTAGGAGTGATGTTCATTTCTGTAAGGCTGTTTTTAATGCCATTACTCTATATTTTCCTATGTCTTATGCTCGCTCTATACCTTTTGTAGCGTTTCAGTATGGCTCGCTGTGGTAGATAGTAGCAGGGCTTTCTTGTTGGGTGTCCAGACAACTTCATTTGTTGTTCTTTGATGACTTGTAAGACTGGCTTTATTCCTAGCATTCGTATGATTTCGTGATTTTGTATTCTGTCTTTCCTTGAAACTCCTGCAGCTCTTCTGAGGCATTTAATCTCTGTTGTCACAATGTTACGTTCATTAGACGATGAAAGTGTCCACGTTTGAACTAAAAGCATAGTGTTGGCCAAAAAAATAGTTCTGTTGAGATTCACTTTAGTACTCTGGGGTATCTGCTTGTGTTTTAACAGGGGAGATAATTGCCCCATTACTTGACTAGCTTTAGCACATCTTGAGCAAATTTCTCTGTCCAGTTTTCTATCAGATGTGAAAATTGCTCCCAAATTCTTAAATTCCTCAGTTTATCTCAAGGCGTTGTTGTTTAATATTATTTCCAAATTGTAAAACATTTAATGAAACAATCAGAAAGAAGCTAAAAAACTCAGGCCCATTAACATGGTAGACCCAAAGATTTGGAATGTCAAAATGATTGTACAAATCAGAGAAACCTCAAATATTTAAAGCTCAGAAATCATTACTGCGGCTGCGTGGCTTAGAGGCTAGCGAATGCGGTTTAAAATTTCATTATCATTCGAGTGTTGTGGTTCATTCTTCACTCTCGTGGTTTTCGGACAGCGGTGCGAGAGTCGCACCGTGGAAGAGATTGAGACCCCACGATAAAATATTCCCAAAGACAACTGTCGTGCACTGTAGCCAAATTTAAATGTGCAGACGACACAGAATATATATATATATATATATATATATATATATATATATATATATATATATATATATATATATATATATATAAAACTGCATATCTACTCTCCTTCTAAAAAGTTAAAGGTGACAGGATCGACTTCATTACACTTAGTTTTGTCCCATGTGGCTCTAATTTTCTTCAAAGAATGGCTAACCGTGTGCCGAGCACCTCGCGACAAGCACAATTTTTTAGCTCCGGCAAAGTCCCAATGAATCATCTTAAAAATTGCACACCTATTGTCATCACGAAACAAACCTACGACTTTCAGGGTGTGTGCAAGACGGCTTGAACCCTTCGCCAAGGAATCCCCTCTAAAAACCATGAGTACTGAGCTCATTATACTAATAATAAAAGATAAAGCCAAAAGTTAAATGCAGAAAAAAATACAACCAGTGTGTCATTATTTATGCTAAATAATTCAAAAGAGAAAGTAATAGAAATCGAGAAAAAGTAGGCAATATATTAAACAACACACCTAGAATGACTGCTAGAAATGGTTTCTGATAACCCTTGGCAATTCTGACTCTAAGACCAAAGTCAACATACGTTTTCATCCCCGCTAAAGCAAGGATTTACACACACACACACACGCAAATTTACTTGTGTTTCCAGGCCAGCCCAGTCTGAAATGGATATTGAGGAATTTTCTGGAAATTAGGGCTGTCTGCATGATGTTTACCACGTCCGTTGTTGTTTTTGGCACCTTTCCGTATTTCCAGACGATATTGTTATTTGGCACTATAGGCAAGCATGAGAATCAGAGGCCATGGCGATGGCAAGTGTGACTTGCAAGAGCCACTTGTGTTAAAAAATTAAATATAATTAGAGCAAGTGATTTCAGGCCATGATTGCCATCACATTTATTTATTTTGCATCCTCTCAGACACATAGTTGTCAACCTGTATGACTTTGTGTGTGTTCTGTATTGTCATTCCTTTCCTGATGTTCCCTAGGCCACTTACTGTGTACCAATTTATACATAAAATATGGAACACATATAGGCTACCCACTATATCTCAAGTCACGAAAAGTTTTTTTTTTTTTTTTAAATATGCCCCTAGCTTCCTTTTTGGGAGCCGCCGTGGTCTAGCTGCTGGATGCTCGCCTGAGGATCGGAAGGTCGGGAGTTCGGTTCCTGATGGGGGCCTGACTTGTCAAAATGATCTTGGCTTCTAGGTCGACCCAGCCTTGGGTGGGTACCAGGTGCAGTTCTGGGAAGTAAAGGCGACCGGCGTGATGCTGACCATATCACCTACCAAGTTTCCTTTGATTTAAAAAATATAGGTCTAGCTTCATATACCCAATACGTCTGAAGGGCGTGGAAAAGTGTCCTTGTGGGTGTTTCCAAGCCCTAATGTTCTTCTTCTTGTTCTATCTGCTAAACAACTTACAGCCACTGTTTGTTGAATTCATTTGGATTCTTGACAGTGTATCCATTAAGATCGTCTGAACCCTTGTTATTGAAGAGACCACACAAACCTGAAGATAAAATCATAAAGAAGATTCCGCACTTTTTCATTAAAAACTTACTTGGTAACGTGGTGCTAGAAAATAAAATAAAAAATACACAATGATTTTGTTACCGATTTAATGTTAGTCCTCTTCTACCTTAACACCACAACGTACACAAGAGTTGATTTGAGAAACAATGTCACAGCACTTAGGACATTCTCATAAGTGTTCCATCCCCATCTTCAGCAGCCAGCACAGTGTTCTTTTATCGATGGCACCAGTAAGAATATGAATATATGACTATTCATCAATATGTCTATTGATTGTAGACTATCAAGAGTTGAGTTGAGAAACATAGTCACAGCACTTAGGACATTCTCATAAGTGCTCCATCCCCATCTTCAGCAGCCAGCACAGAGTTCTTTAAACGATGGTACCAGTAAGAATATGAATATATGACCATTCATCAATATGTCTATTGATTGTAGACTATCTGCCCTGGTCACACTCTGTTGTGCCTTTTTCTCCAAGCCGTGATGACCTGTTTGTCCTTCAACATTGCTGCTAAAGCGCACTGACTACATCTCGCTTGTCATGCACTGTACTGGATTAACCCACTCAGTGCCAGTCCACTCACCACGTGCTTTTAATTTCTACAGACATAATTTTCTTAACTCATGTGCCTCATCTGGTTATTGAACTTATTCATTCGCCGGAAATTTTAGCATAATTCCCCCATGCCTCGGTTTTTATTTATTTTAACCCCTGAGACCCAAAGCGCTGATTAATTAAAGTAACAACTTTTTAAAAATAACGGAATGAGTTAAAGTGACACACAGCATTGTACCAAATTCTTAAGCCTTAGAAATTAAACCCGCCAACAACCTCTTTTTTCATACGGTCACATAAATAACACACACACACACACACACACACACACATATATATATATATATATATATATATATATATATATATATAGAGAGAGAGAGAGAGAGAGCTATCTACCTCTTGATTACCTGTCATCGTTTCCCTACACTTAGAGTGTTACATGATTCTATTACCAAACAAAATAATAATAAATAAAAATTACTATAGAAAAAAAAATTAATAACCACCTCGTTTTAAAGTGTGAACATTCAAGTCAGTACCCTCAATACACTTACTTACCTTCAGTACTCTCAAAGTCAGTAGAAGATGCCTGTATGTTGATATTCAGGAATGGCTTGACACTGCCAGTAATGACGACTGTTGCTCCTGTTGGTAAAATTACCTGAAATGACATCACGAGTTTGTAGTCATCTGCATGTGTTAAAATAGAAGTAAAAAAGCAGATGAAAAAAAAAAAAAACCTACTTTACAACAGCTGGCAAATTTGTCATGTTTTAGAACCCGTAGCTCTGCGTTCGTGATATCTATGTGACAGAGCTCTCATTGGTGCATTGTCCTGTAGCTGTCTTGACACATGTCTGAACCATTTGACATGTTGTCTCTTGATGTTGTTTAGAACTGGCTCTATCTATTTTGTATTTCAAAGTTGTTTTACAATTTTAATGTGATAAATAGACTCAGTGTCCTATCTAAAGTTGGTACATTATCTTGTCCTGTGATTTCAGTAGCCGAACATTTTATATATTTTCTTGACTTGAGTTATGTATCTCGAGGAAAGCTGAAGTTAAAGAAAGGGGGAACATTTAGATTTTTAGTGTGTAGGAAAATACTAGGAACTGGTAAGTGTCGGTGTATATGTTCATTGTCAGGGTCCTATGTGGCTGTGGGATGTGTGCAAATGATGATGATAAATAGTGAGCTTGTTACTAAACAAAGGCGACAAAGCAACGGGTTTTCCCCGAAAGTTTTGTTCTGTATTGAACGGTGCATGGTTGATAGGGGAGTTGGTGAGAGAGGGACATGTAGACTGGACGTTGTTGTTTTGACAGTTAAATGTGTTTCTGTTTTGTCTGATGTTAGCGACAGTAGCTTCTTGTTAGGGTGTTAGCCTGACGGTAGAATGTTTCAGGTGTTAGTTTGTGTTAGCAAGAGGTAGGTTATTATAGGTTTTTATAATAGTATTCATTTATGTATTTAGTTATACGTTAACGAGGCGGTCCTTGAAGGGTTGATCAGGTTACGTGACATATTCTGTCCACTCACTCTGGCCAAAGACGTGCAGTAGCACCGCTGTCTAAGTGTAAGGCACAGTGGCGTCGGAAAGAGCTTTAAGGAAGTCTGTTGGTTTTGACCCTAGTCACACCTGTAAGGCCGGTACGGTACTGTAGGGGCAGGTGGGTTACTGGGTTGGTAACGCGAACCACTTTCGCCCAAGTGAACTGCCGCATTGTTTATTGTGAACTGCATTAAAGATTGTTGTCTATGCTCTCACTGTGTTGGTCGATTGTGTTTAGGAATAGACCTTTTTTCTGTCATGGATCTACCAACGAGCTTTCCTGTCCTGACATTCATCCGCTTATATTTCCTGATATTCTTAGTCGTCTTTTTCTTCAGCATTACGCGCCCTTGAGTTTCACGGCTGCAGATATCACGCGCCTCCAATAATCTCTTTGGTTGGCCTTCTCTTTCTAGCTGGTGACACCAAGTGTTTGCAGGTCTATCTAGACATTATCACTCCATCCTCTTCTTGGTCTACCTCCTGGTCTGTGACTATTTATCTCCCTTGTGAATACAGTTTTTTCTTCTCTATCATCTGATATTCTTTCAATATGCCCTAACCATTTCAGTCTATTAGCTCTCATGCTGCCAGTGATCAAAGGTGATTTAAACAGATTGTGAATTAGATTGTTGCTTCTCACTCTCCGTTCATGTTTCCTAATATCAGACATTAATTATCTAAGTATATATATATATATATATATATATATATATATATATATATATATATATATATATATGTGTGTGTGTGTGTGTGTGTGTGTGTGTATTTGCTATTGTAATCTTACCTCATACTTCTGACTACAAGTGCAGTGGGTTAAGACTCTAGTTCCGGGCGTAAGCTCTCCATTCTTGTACATGTCTACAGTGATGACACTTTTCCCTGTTGTTATAATCTTGTTCTGCCTTGTGTTACATGTACTGTAATCAATGTAAGTTAGTAAATACATGAAACAGTCATATGTTTAAACAAGCAGACTAAATACAATGTTAATAAACTGGCAGAATTAACCACAATGTTTGTAAGCAAGCTGACTAGCCCCAATATTGTTAAACAAGCAAACTAACATGAATATTGGTAAACAAGCAGATTACCTGTACTGTAGGTAACGAGCAGACAAACGGATCACACAATTGGTAAAGACCGACTAACCACAATATCGGTTTTAAAAAAAAAGAGCAGTCTAACCACGATAGCGGTTTAAAAAAAACTAAACACAATATCGGTAAACAAACATAATAATCACAATATTTGTAAACAAGCAGACTAACCACAGTATCAGCGGTTAACAAACAGACTAATCACAATATTTGTAAACAGGCAGACTAACCATAATAGTGGTAAACAAGCAGACTAACCACAGTATCAGTAAACAAGCCGACTAACCGCAATTTCGGTTAACAAACACCCTGACCAAATTGTTGGTAAACAGACTAACCACAATAAGGTAAACAGGCAGACTAACTCCAATATTGGTAAAATAGTAGCCTAACCACGATATCGGTAAACAAACAGACTAACCACAATATTGGTTAAAAAAAGCAGACTAACCACAATATTAATTTTAAAGAAAAGCAGATTAACCACATTATCGGTAAACAAGCACACTAACCACAATATTACCACAATATCAGTAAACAAGCAAACTAACCACAATATTACCACAATATCAGTAAACAAACAGACTAACCACAATATTACCACAATATCAGTAAACAAACAGACTAACCACAATATTACCACAATATCAGTAAACAAACAGACTAACCACAATATTACCACAATATCAGTAAACAAACAGACTAACCACAATATCGGTTAAAAAACAAGACTAGTCATAATATTGGTAACCACTGTGCTGATTATCATGCTACTGTATGATCACGCCATCATTCTTTATATTTTTTGTTTCTAAATCTTTCAATAAATATATCACAATCAACTTACCAAGCGTTAACAAAAACGTGTTGCCTATACACACACTATTTAAGACATAGTCCTATATTCTTATAAGAGATTACGCAATACAGAGATAAGTACAGACTCAGTTTGCATTGGGCTCAAAAACTGCTTCTATTTTTCACAAATAAAATTTCAAAAAATATTTTTCAGATGCAAGAGAGAGAGAGATAGATATATAGAGAGATATATAGATATAGAGAGATATATATATATATATATATAGATATATAGATATAGAGAGAGAGAGAGAGAGAGAGAGAGAGAGAGAGGATTATACAATTTCTGTGATTTTGTAAGCACATTCTTTATTAATTTATTATTATTATTAATATTATTATCATTATTACTGATAAAAATTAAACGACAATGCACGTTTCCCCCATTATTCAAATATTTAAAAGGTGTAAATAGTTGAAAGTTTTCTGAGATTTTCTGGTGTAATTGAAAAAGATAGGGGCCTCAGTGCTTATACATCTTAGGACCTCATCAAGTCCAAATCCGTCGTTGGTAGAGAAACTTACTCAAAGGTGATCACATCATCTCCTGATCTGACTGCAGCCCCACAGTTACACGTTGCACCCTTTGGCTGCTTGGGGTTGCAAGGCTCATACAATGCACGTACCTGAACACATTCAACATTAATGGTGTTATCAGTTATGTAACTGGGTGTAGCAGAGCAGGTGGTAATTTTATGAAAATCTTGAGAAGTTTTATAAATGAAAAAATTTTTTTTTTTTTTTTTTAGATATTGTGTCATGCAGCAGCACCGCCACACAGTAATAACCCACTGGGTGGGAGAGGGGATGGGAGGAGGGCGTGAACGTATCAGCCTTTTTAAATTTGAAGGGAAGGTTTTAAAGTTTTAAACAACGGATCAACATCATGGCACACGGGTGTAACCCGTAAATGCTCCGTTCTTCTACCAACTCAAGTCTGAGTCTGAAGAAGCTCAGGACAGTGCACAGGCTCTGTAGCACCAGCGAGGATCCTGAAATACTTTAGGTATATTTTTAACTTAAAATTTTGCCTGGGATCACAGTTAGGCTATATTTGTCAATTTTCAACTGCCAAAAAATTTTTTACGTGTCCAGCAATGCACACGGGCGTCCGATCTCACTACCCAAGGGGGAAATACTAGAAGTCAAAGTCCACGTGAAAAATTTCTAGCCCTTATCGGGGATTGAACCCGGAACCTCTAGCACTAGAGGCAGACACCATGCCTCGAGACCACGCATCCCCCTAGTGGAAAGGGGGGGATGGGGGGGGGGGGGCCATCAACATGCTTGAGCGTTAATTTTGTTCGCTAGTTCTCAATTAAAATAAATTACCATTATGTGCACCATGGCAAGTGAATATAAAATACTGAAAATAATATTTAATGTATAAAATGTCATCTCTATACCTAATTATATAAACGAATACTTAAATTAAACAAGACTGAAATTAAATGTGTATGTATTATTCTATGTTAGATGTAACAAGGCAAGATCGACTTAAGAACGATCAGATCAGGACACAGAGCCAATACTAAACTTTATCGGTAGACAACAGATAAAATGATTTGGCCATATAACAAGACTGGCAACTGGCAGGGCACCACAGAGAGCAATGTTACACATTTACAGCGGTAATAGTTCCAGAGGTCGACCACGCAGATCATGGACCTTAAATGTATCGGAGATTGAAAAGTACTACATGTATATGCGAAGTCAACAGAAGTGCCCGTTCGAGAGATCTTTTCTGTCCTGGCGTTGTGAGACATTCCAGGAGCAGAGAAAAGAAGACGAAGAAGAAATGAAGAAATACCTAAAAAGAGATTGTGTATGCACGTTTGGGAGGCGTGGGGTTTAATTCAGGGTACAAGAGTCCCCTCCCACCTACAGGTTCCAGCCTCCTTGTCTCATGCAAAATCTGATCAATATCACTTTTTACATCCCTACTGGAAATCCAGCCAGTGTTAGAAGTAAAGAATAACACCACGATAGGTATGGTTGACTGCCTCATTCTGTAGAAAATCATCTCAGAATGGAACGTAGTATATTTGCTTTGCTTTTTAAAGACGCAATAATGCTGGTTTAAATTTTGCAATTATGTTATATATTTTTTTTTTTTGTGTGTGATTATGATAGGTTAGTTGCGTATCCTTTACAGCACGATGCAGAACCAACCCCAGTAGCCCCTGGCTGTTTTGTGGTTTTTCTAGGCAAATTTCCGTCGAGTAGTTTGTCATTGCTGCCTGGACGGTCGGCTTTTTTGATACCACTGTCGAAACCAACGTAAGGCGCATGGCCCGCAGCTGGGGCCAAATCCGGCATTCCGGCTTTACGAAACGATCGCATCGATTAGCCACAGTGACGACTTTGATTATGATAACATTGTTATATTAGCATAGACAGATCAAAGCAGGGCTTTTTCAACCAGCGGTGTGAAACGGTACGCAGCACCGGTACATTTTTAAGGCATCACTGTTTTCAGCGCTACCGTAAGAGACACTTTGTTATGGTCACCAGCACCTATTTTAAACACTTTGTGGTGAGTATTTTGTAAGATCCTTGAAAAAAGACTACTTCCTATCATCGAACCACAACTTAGTGAAGAACAAAGAGGATTTCGAAAGAACACAAGTACATTAGAATTCGATAAAGATTGAAATGGTGTTCACCAGGTGTTTATCGCTTGTGTGATGTCCTGGTGAGGTAGAACAAGCAAGCAAAAGATGGTTAATCTTGTCCACCAGTGTGATGCAATTTTTTGTTATTTTAAAGCCCCACCCGGAATTTTGTTGGGGGCCCTAAAATATGTCCTAACGGTTAAACGGGGTTTCCGGGACCTCTCCATTAGCGATCCTCATCCGAATGGTGGTACTTTGTGTTACGTGGTGTTTATCGCTTGTGTGATGTCCTGCTGGGGTACAACTTACATACATACAGAAGACCGAGTAATTAATAAAGAAATCAAACAAAGATATAATAAAGCCAGTCAAGTTTTATGCGAAATGGCACCAATTTTGAAATGCAAGCACGTGAATATGAACACTAAAAGAACATTGTTGAAAATAATATTCTTACCAAAGCTATGCTATCGATAACAAACATGGACACTGTCGTCAGAAGACCTCACTACTTATTTAGTTAACACCAAGATCTAAATTCTTCATTTAACTATTGACTTTAGAAAAATTATGAACTTCAGTAAATGTGATATAGCTTCCTACCTCATATGGCAAGATTTTGTGTTTGTACAATACAAACTCTCCAGTTAGGAAGTTGTTATAGTGACTGAAATTTGAAAAAAAAACAAAGAAATTAAAAAAAAAAATGAAGGGGATTTATTAATCACGGCACTACGACAAATAACATTTTGTGCAGAAGACAGTCATATGAGTTTCTCAGCTGTTATTATTATTTAAATAGGCTGAACTGACTTAAATACGTTCAGAAAACAAAAGCAAATTATGTAATGGCTGATTTTAGGGTTATTGTGGAACCTACTTACAAAGACTTGTACTCCCCCCCCCCCCCCCCACCTTCCCACCCCCCACCCACCCCTCCCGACCCCCCCCCCCCCCCCCCCCCACCCCCTCAATCCCACCCTTCCCCCCCCCCCCCCCCCCCCCAACCACTTATGAGAGGGCTGATAATTTAAATATGTAATTTCTTTTATTGTGTATATCAACAGCCTCAACAGTGTAAAGTCATTGATCTTCACAGACCAGTCCGTTATACGAGGACATAAGAGTGCATGGTTAAAGCTCGCTCTTCAGGCAGAACAGTTCAGGAAACCAGCGGTGCCTTCTCCATGACCACTAGCAGCATGACGATGGAGGTGATGGCGGTGACACAGTGGCTGGGATCACAGGACTATTCCCGCGTGTGTGTGCTGAGTGATTCGTGGAGCATGATCCGGCGGGTCGAGGCACGCTGGTTACACAGATAGTGGCTTGAGTCGTTGCAAAATTCCCCTGTGTGTGCAGTTACTTTCATGTTCGTCCCAGGGCATGCAGGCGCTGTTGGTAATGAGAGCTGATAGACTGGCAGGTGCTGCATTATTTGAAGATGGATCACGCAGACATTGTCATTACCCTTAGGACGTTATGAAGCAACATGTCCACATCACAGCTAAAAATACGCGAATTGGGAGTAAAGATTGGCACAGCCAAGCATGAGAAGCACACCGCACGCACACGAAGTCTTGTTAACCAACATACGACTGGTACTATTAACCACACGACGCTGATGAATATGCTTGAGAGGGGAATCTGGAGCGTCTATGGATGTGTCCGAAGTGCTGTGATGATTAATGCAACTCATAACTCAGTGTAAAATCAATGGACCAATAAATTATGTCTCTTTACTGATCGTCATTCCTTATTTTGTAACAAGTCCTGCACATAGGGTCACTCCAATCTTAGTCTGTATGAAAGAAACTGGGTCTCACACATCTCCTGCCTTGCAATGTGTCCATGATGTCATGTACCCACTCTCTGTGATGGTTGGCCCCTACCTCTCATGCCCCCCATTACTGTTTACCAGGTCTGTGTGACGTTTGATATGACCAACTTATTTAAGTTCCTAGACAAAATGCTTTTCACGAACCAAGTTTCCTTGATGTTAATATCCTTTAGAATGTCATATTTCGTTTCTTCTTGGACCATGTTTCTTCATTACTTGTTTATAACATACTAGACCGTGCATAACCATTAATGTGTTTACTAGTGTGCTCATGCGTTGTATTTGATCTTTGGGTGTCTCATCTCATCTTCGTGCACTTCAACCTTGCGGTTTCGAGTCGAGGTGTAAATATGCGGGAGAAAGACAGTCTCCGCTATGTACTAGGTAATTTCCGGCGACTGTTTAATTCTTCGGTCCATAGTTTTCTTGGTCGGCACCTTTTCTAAAAAAAATTATGATAGACGATCAACTACCCAAATTTTACACACTGTTTAGAGAGCACACAATCACGTTCAACACGTATGTTTTGCTCACATATCAACCTATCAGTAGAAAAACAAAACATTACGACTTCCAAGAATACGCAGTCTGGAATGCTTTAGATACATCCTTGTTTCAATGTGCATTGCACAAGGTCGTTCCCATTACTGCCCAATCATCAAACTCCTTGGTCCTCTCTAATTTCCCTGTCTCATGTACCCATTACTGCTCACTAAAAACTTCATGGCCCTGGATAATTTCCATGTTTCACGTATTTTCCTACCAAAGGTTTCCAAGTTCCCATGTCCACCTTTACGACTGTGGCTTTCTCCCTGTTCTTCTAGAAACCACGATTTGCATTATTGTTCTCCCTAAACGGCTGCAACACTGTCAAGATTACAAGCCAAGTGTCAGTTAATTTAGAAAAATATAACAATAGTCTGGGAAATTTTTAATTTAACAAAAGATGCCGGTACTCACCATGAAATGTCTATAAAGGTGCCGGTACTCACCATGAAATGTCTATAAAGGTGCCGGTACCCACCACAAAATGTTTAAAAAGGTGACGGTACTCACATCGAAATGTCTAAAAAGGTGCTGATACTACAAAATATATATTACAGTATGACTGAACAAATTCATAAAAAAGGTGCTGGTAATGGGCACCGCTAGGGACCATGCCCTGGTACTAGTACTATAAGCCTAATGTGTTTTTCAAGGCGTGAAAAATGATTCTTTGTAACTTGTGATCAAAACAGCAGGAGCAGTGTTGCAAAGGCTAACACAATCTGGGACAAAACTTACGTGTCATCAAATGTCTTCATGTGTGGATCATTGACTGAAGAACAGGTGGCCCCATCGCCTCTGTCTATAACTACTAAATCAATGTCTCCACAGGTCTCAACTGTTGTTGTTGGTATGACCTGCAAATAGATTCAGGTCAGTAAATTGTAACAGAAAGATAACTGGGATAGGTAATAATTATTCGTACTATATCATCATCAAGGAGCCGCCATGGTCTAGCGGCTAGAGGCTCGTCTGCGGATCGGAAGGTCAGGGGTTCGGGTCTTGACGTACGACGAAAACTTCTCAAAAATAACCTTGGCTCTCAGGTTGTTCCCCCCCTTGAGTGGGTACCAGGTACAGTCCTGGGAAATAAAGGCTTTCGGCGTGATGCTGATCACATCACCCACTAAGTGTCATTTGGTCAATAAAATCTACGTCTAGCCCTATATACCCAATAGCCTGAGGCCTTAGTAAATAGTCCTTCACGTTATATCATCAACGTCGTCCTCTCGTAACACTGGATGTTGCTAGGTCATCATGTGGATTTATCTGCTCCATCCAACTTTGACTGTCAGTTGCAATTGACTTCGTGTTTGCACTTCTAAGGTTTGTCCAGCCCGTCAGGTTCTGTCCCCCTTAACTTGAGTTTTAAGTGCCCATCCGTTTCAAATATGGTTTATTTATATGCAGACTGTTGGTTTCTTGCCATTCATGCAGACGCGCTCTGACTTCGAAATAAACATTTCTAAGTTTTCGCCTCGTACAAACTTTATTGTTAGTGGGCGGGGAAGGGGGGTCTATCCTCCCCTACTCCCACCCTTGCAACTCACACGGGCATAATTTCTTATATTCTAGGGTTTATAGATTTCTGGTAATTAATTACTTACCTGGCCAATTATTCTGACAGCAATTTTGAGTTTTCTGTGGCGGTCGCCATCTTTAATGCCCTCAATTGTTGCCTTGATAGGGATGGTTATATTACTATTCCAGTTGCCTGAAGTAATTGCTACACCACAAGATAGCGATCCACTCTGTCCAACAGTAGACACACCTAGAACTGCTTGAGGTATAATTTCTTTCACAGAACATCTGCGAATATCGAGGTAATACCATCAAGGAAAGCCAGAAAAAGAGTATACGTTAAGTTAGTCTTTTTATTTTTTTTTAAAATTATGGATACTGAACAGTTAGATTTAATTAAATATAAACCCGCATATAGTAGGTATTCATTTTTAAAGTGTATTAATACAAGTACTCCGTTAACAGAATTCGACTAAACGAGACTTTTTATGCAATGATTAACTTTAAAAATTTTTTTTCTTAAAACTCAAGTTAAGGGGGACAGAACCTGACGGGTTGGACAAACCTTAGAAGTGCAAACACGAAGTCAATTGCAACTGACAGTCAAAGTTGGATGGAGCAGATAAGTCCACATGATGGCCCAGCAACACCCAGTGTTACGGGAGGACGACGTTGACGATAAAACGTGAAGGAGGCGAAGCTAACTATGATGGATAAGAATTATGTCATATCAGAGTTCAGCTTGTGTGGGCTCGACTGTATTCAGTGAAGATAGTACCTTATTTTATAAATGCATTCTATTCTATCTGTTCTTGCCTAATTCGGCACTATATTATCTTTAACAACAACAAAGGTGGGGGAGGAGGTGGTGGGGTTTAAAAGGGGGGGGGGGGAGTATTTAAGGAATGGAAGGAACACGAACAACAGGCAGACAACAAAACATGTGAGAGCGTACTTTCATTGTAGAGACAGAAACATTAACTGGACTTCAAACATGGTGCAAGACAGTTCTGATTGTACGGTCAAGGCATAAAACAAAAGAAATGAGCAGTTACGAACTAATAGTTTAAATTTTTTTTTTTTTTGACACAAAGCCATAACACTAGTTGACTTTACTAGTTTCGCTCACCATATAATCGCAGACAAATGATTATATTCCAACATGTAATTATACTTCTGAATGTAGTGAAAGTTATGGTAGAGAAATCACTACAGTGCGTTTGCAAATTGGTGCTAATGTTTTTAAAACAAATTACATCTCAGATGTAGTAGAATATAAATGGATGAAATGATTTATTTATATTTATTTTATTCCCCACACCCATCCCGCATAATCAGTAATTATAATACTTTTTTTGTTGTTGCTTATTCGAGGTATATACGATGATCCTTGCTGGAATGCCTCTAATGGTTTATACAGCACACAGTTTAAATATTACCAATCAAACTTTTCACACACATTCATTTTCTTGTGTTTTATGTAAATTCTGAATAAGACTATAACTATTCCACTGAAAGTATCTGAAGATACTATAAAATGAGATTGCTGGATCGTTTCCATATGTCGTCACAAGTTGTAAAGGCGTCACATACACGGTTAGGGTAATTTAGGTCCGTACTGTAAAATGTGTTATGTTAACTAACTAAACTTATACATGTGATGAAAAAAACAAAGAAAACATTAGTTTCATTATAACTGAGAAGTGTAATTATTTTAATGTCAGTATTTAGCGCTCGCCCTCTTACCTTAGATCTGTAAGCTCTGATGTGATTGTAGTTGAAACCTCGACCCTACATTGTCCGTTATCTTCTGGTCTACAGAGTAGAGATGGCGGAACTGTCACTTGTATCTGAAGGAACCGTTCCTCTCCTCCTTCTATGACTGTAATTGTACCATTTACGGGTGGGCACTGTGGAAGAAATGAATATTATCATGCAGATAAACTAAACGTTTTAGAAGAGATGAATATTAAGTTTAAGTTGAAATCAAACTTTCTACAGAGATTATTACTAAATCTAAATATGGCCGCCTGTAACCAGACTGTAAAATATCATATTGTCAAATTTTAAAATGATGTGCTACCATTGCTACTCCTGAGAAATATCAAAGGGTAACCTACGTCAAATTACTACCTGTGAGATGAGATACCTGAGGAAAGCTGCAAACTCAACCATTCGAGACCAAGTAAGAAGCGATGCTGTTAAAGAGAATATGGAAACAACACTTTCACCAGATTCGTTGAGAAGCAGAAGACCAAGTGGTTCGTTCAAATCGCGAGACCGCAGGCACAACTATCATTACTTCTTCTTCTTAAAGTCCATGCCGTGTGGCGTTGGTAGTCATGTCTATCTACAACCTTCTGTCTCCTGTTCTTTCAATCAACTCTGACACAGATTATCTTCCATGCCATGATGTCAAACTTTTCAGCATATTTTCTCTCGGTCTACATCTGCATCTCCTCCCCTCCATCTTTCCTACTTTCACGATGTGCTGCAGTTTTCTCTTCTTCACATGACCAAAGAATGTAGACTGCCTCTTCCTGATGATGGGCAATCAGTTCTCTTCGTGGGTCAGTTTCTTTCAAGACATCTTCATTACTCTTTTTATTTTCCAGGATAGTTGCATCATTTATCTATAAATTCCACATCTTCGAAGCTTCCAAATAAGTTTTAACTAATTTACAAACCGTCCGTGATTGCCTTCCGTACATCAAAATAGGATTTGTACAGCTTTTCAGAATTCTCTTTCTCGTCGCAATTGACAAAGAAAGATATCATACATTATTCATCATTTTGTAAATGATGCTTATCTCACAGGTGCTCTAAAAAAAAACAGAGCTGATGTGAAGATAGGAGAGCGCCCAGGGGAAATGTGGGTGGATAACACTTAATAGATTCTTTCTTAGTGGTCTCCATTCTAGTGGTGGGGGGGGGGGGGGCTACCCACAGGGTGGCACCACAAGGAGGTTTCACTGCGGGCGTCAAGTATTTTTAAAAGTGGGTTAGTTTGTATTTGTAATCCATTATACGTACATTTTGTTTTAGTTTAATTATAAATATAACATTTTTAAACTAAAGAAAACGACGATTCATTTTTACTGTCACCAGGAATTGGGTGTGCATATACCGTTAAAAAACTGATATGTTAACACGGATATCTAATTATAGATTAGGAACACATGCTGACCAAAAACATGCTTTGTGTTTCTAGTGTTGCGGAATCATTTTGTTATGTTGGGGGACTGTGTTAATGGGGTATGGGGAAAGGGGGCTCAGAGGTGTTGCAATATACTTAAGGGGGCGTGGGCGTCTTGCCATATACTCGGGGGGTTAGGAGTGGCGCAACGTGGAAAAAAATGTTGCAGACTACTATTCTGCTTCAGTACAGAATGATAATAGCCATTGCTCAGCATAGTACAAAAGATCATAAACTGTTCCTTTCAAGTTTCGGCAAAAGTAGAAACTGGTGATGGTGATAAAGTTAGTGGTGCGTATCCTTTACAGAACGTTGCAGAACCAACCCCAGCAGCACCTGGATGTTGGTTTTTATAGACAAATTTACGTCCAGTAGTTTGCAATTGCTTCTGGACGGTCGGCTTTCTTGATACCACTGTCGAAACCGACACAAGGCGCATGGCCTGCAGCTGGGATCAAACCCGGCATCCCGGCATTTCGAAGCGTTCTCATCGACTGAGCCACAGAGCCGACGGTGACGGTGATAACAGCCAAAAAACTATTGTGAGTTTACGAATAGTTTAAAGTTATCATGAAGACAAAACCAGAAGTGGCATAACATGTGTGAGTTATGAAGATAAAACCAAACGTTTTAGACGAGATGTATCGTGACGATAAAAGGAAACAAAAACAGCAGGGAATACCACACGAAAACATCAATCTAATCATTTGACCCAGCATGCAACTTGTACCAAAAACTGTCTTGGAAGTCAAAGAGGCTGATATGTTATTTACAGCAGTGCCAGCTGTGTGCCGATTGGTCTAGAAGAATATAAATTTAGCTTCAGGTGCCCCATCAAACCAATAGCGAGAAGAAGATCTTTTAATTAAGCAAAGTAAAGGCCCCTTTTCCACGCCTTTAGGCGAATTGGAAATATAGGGCTAGACCTGTATTTTCAAAGACCAATCGGCACTTGGTGGGTTATGTGGTCAGCATCACACCGGCCGCTTTTACTTCCCAGGACTGCACCTTGTACCCACTCAAGCTGGGTCGACATGGAAGTCGAGGTCATTTAAAAAAAATAAAAATAAAATCCGGCTCCGTCAGGAGGCGAACTCACGACCTTCCGATCCGTAGGCAGTAGTCTAGCCATCAACGCCACGGCGACTCTCAGAACGTTGAATTACTTACCTTTATTGAAGGAATTACAACATTGCTTTTCACAGACGAGCACCATTCGGCATTTGATGTCGTGTATCGTGCTTCAGCAGTGCATGTAATCTGCAAAAGTAGGGGGGAAAACGTGTTATTTGTCAAAATTTGACAATAATAGAACAGGTTCATTCATAACATGTAAGAGACGCCGTCCCTTTACTTTAACTTAGTCATTGTAATACTCCTATTTCAAGTTGTCAGATTTACGAATATACATTTTCACAATTCTAAATTTTCGATACGATTTTTTTTTTTTTTTTCTGTTCTTTTTCTTTTATCTTAGGCACGTAAAAACAGAATATGGCAGAGGTGAAACATAATTTAAAGAGAGAATAGGAATGGCTAAAATTATCGTCAAAAAGTCGCGAAACATTAATGACAGCTAGAGAGATAAACAATACATTAAAAATGAGAATCGTCAAATGTTATGCATACTCAACCCTGCTGAATGCTGCAGAAACGTTGACGATGTAATGAATGAATGAATGAATGAATGAATGAATGAATGAATGAATGAATGAATGAATGAATGAAACAAGAATGGACATAATTGCACTCGGAACATTCCAACACGTGCTACGTCCCCTTCTTCAATAGCCAACGAAGAGTGGTAAAGTTAATAGTGCCGGTTGCAATTTGATTAAAGTCTGCCTTTGTTTTCCCCCTCAATGTTGAAAATCTTCCAGACCATCTTCTCAACCCCGTTGTAATTCGTTGAATTAGCCTTTCATTGTATGGATTCTCGGTCTGCTCTATCACTCTGATCATTTGATCTCACAGAGCCTTAACCACGTCCGCTGTATCATAAAGTAGTTCAGCGCCAAGAGGAGTGGGAGCAGCTAATCTGTAAGCCTTTTGGCTATCTCGCTCACCTGAATATCCTAGACAAAAATATATAATATGCTTCTGATCTAAGTTTTATCAAGTGATGCAAGCTTCTCTGCTCGCAGGACGCCAGTTTCAATTTTTCGAAGCATGCTCTGTGAGTCCATTACAGTTACCAGCTTTTGTGCTATACTGCTCTCAAGTTACCTTAAGCTGCCGTTATTGCCTTTACCACCTGACAGCTTAGTAAGCTTACATAGCTCGGCTAACTATTATACACTAATAATACACTATTATACACTACATGCTCCCCTGTGGAGTTTATTCCTAATCTCCGAAGCGTAGCCGCACAAAGTAGGTATTGACAGAAAAAAAAAAGTATATGTACATTAGCATAGAGTTGTTTGCTAGTGAGGCTTGTGGGAACCATGCTCTAAGACGGCACTGGTGGGGATGCCAAGATATTGATTTTGCCTTTTCATGGCAGCCAAATTATTTGATTGACACTAGAATACACCACCCGTAGAAAGAACGCCGGAAATGACGTCTACAGTCGGAGGCAGCTGAATGTCCAGTGAAACTTCCTGGTAAAGTTAACCCAGTTAATACTCTGTCATGATGGCCAAGAACAGTAAATACAGTAGCTACTCGAGAAGCATGCTTGCCTGCAGGCGCTGTGATGTTTGTTAGAAATTTCTACAGAGAGGAACTTTTATTATTGACCTATGGCACTAAGTCTTTCAAGACAAACGGGAACCAGTACATGGTTTGAGATATAACCACCGTCGACGTGGCATTTACCGCATGACTTATATCGTACCCTTTGATATAGAAAACATGTGAAAGCAACTCAATGGGCCCAGTACGCCCAAAATGCGTGATTTTTCTTCCTCTATGCCGTCACTTGGGTAAGGAGATTTCCTCATTTAGTAAATCTGAAAATGAGCACTGTCTGGGAAAAGAAGACCACGGAAAAGGAACTTGCCATTCCACCTCATGTGTCGTAGCCTAGTATGTGAGAAAACCTAACATTCCACACCCGAACGGTTGTATCTGCCATTTGACTACCTTGCCGCGCGAGAACCATAAACCTTGCATGCTGTGAGTGTGAAATTTAAGATTGTCTGGGAAGCAAAGGTGATGAATTAGCTATTCAGAACATAAAAAACAAACATGTAAAAGGCAAAAATAAACAAATTCGCAGGACATCAGGAGCCTCTTTTGGCAGTGGTAAAACATCACAAGCAAGTTTTGTTCACGTGATGAGACATGATTCAAGTGCAAAGACTTCAAGGAACATTGGGGGTTAGTCGAAAAACGAAAATAAAAGGGGGGAGGGGGTGGACGAAAAAAAGAACCTGGAGTGAAAACATCAAGAAATTGACAGGACTAAATTATTATACTTTTTCAACAAGCTAAAAGACAGCAAGATCTCTGGGTTCGTGTGCTAGTGCTTCCATCGATACATCTGCACGACCCTGGCGGGTCAAGGGTTATGTTATGTTATGTTATGTTACAAAGGCGTCAAGAAAGGGAACATACGATTCCCACTCATATCGTCGGCATTATGACAGTCCCCTAAATGCTAAAGTGTACTACGCCAAAGTCACCAAAGTGCAATTTCGGTTTTAAACACCTAGCTGCATTTTCAGGGCTATTGTTTTAACTGTAGAAAATGATAGTTTCCGTATATGAATGCCGACACCTAATAGGTTAAAATAAAGTATAACTTTTCATGCAACAAGTGGTGCAGCAAGGTCAGATAGGGGTCGGGGATGGGAGCGGTTAGGGTTCGGGAAATTTCCCGTTACCTCTGCCCTATCCCACACTATTTTTTTTAAAAATTGTGCCATTCCTTCCCCACCCCTCAGAGACAAAGCTCGCAGCGACCTGCATCCCATTTTCACGCCGCACGCAACTAAACCTCTTTTTGTGTCCCACTCACGTCTTCTTCTTTGAGTTCACAGTCTGTAAACTCTGGCTGAAAGTTCTAGTTATTCGTCTACGTCTAGATTCCACTGCTGTTCCAGAAGATGAGTGTTGCGTATACATCCGTTCTACAGACCTGACTCACTTGTATGCAGACTGCTGGTTTCTTGTCTCTCAGACTAATGTGCTCGACATCAAGGAAAAATTTCAATTTAGTTGACTTTTACGACATGCAGTGGGTCTGTGTTTTCCGCTCAATGGGTCCCCAGAAGCCACTCGCGGGTGTGGCATTTAATTTGAAATGCATTTTTATAAAACAAACATTCGGCAGTTAGATGACTTATGTGCAGTCTCTGTTACCTCCACACATATTAACATTTCGCTGGGAACAGACTCCATCTGTTGCCCCTGAGCGCTTTAACCCATTCACTGATCAAAAACCGGATAACAGAAATGTTGCTCCTCTTTCATTTATGTCATAGAAGCGGCGGCCATTTAAAACTGTCATTACGACATCAATATGTTCGTCTGCACCGACATTTCGCATGTTTATTGCTCTCGACATCCTTAACAACAATACTGACCGGCTTACAAAGCAATGGCACGGTTACTCTAATTTCTAGCACACTATTACGTTTTTTTCATTTTGTTGTTGTTGTTGTTGGAATGCCGGCGTACAAGAAAATCTACTTACTTGCTTGTTCAGTATTGATACATTAATCTCTGAAGCTGAAATTGATGCAGATCTGTCTGGTGCTTCTATCTCTTTGCTCCACTTGACAGTAGATCCTTCGATTTTCCAGGTGAATTTGATTCTAATACCAGGTTCAGGAGCTACAGCAACTGAGCAGGTCAGCTGGCCCTGGCCAATGGAATTTGGCAGTTGGAGTCAGAGTCACAGATGAGAGGTTTGTAGGACATGGCGGGTTTGTTGTTGTAGTAGCTGTGCTTGTGGTAATAGTTGTTTGCTTTGTTGATGTTATTGTTGTTGGGCTTGACGATGTTGGTTGTGACGTTGTTGGCTGTGATGTTGTTGGTTGTGGTGTTGTTGGTTGTGGTGTTGTTGGTTGTGGTGTTGTTGGTTGTGGTGTTGTTTGTTCTGGTGTTGTTGGTTGTGGTGTTGTTTGTTCTGGTGTTGTTGGTTGTGGTGTTGTTGGTTGTGGTGTTGTTTGTTCTGGTGATGTTGGTTGTGGTGTTGTTGGTTGTGTTGTCGTCAGTTGTGGCGTTGTCGATGCTGTCACTTCTGTTGGTTGTGTTGTTGTTGGCTGTGATGTGGTTGAATCTATAACTGTTGTTTGTTGTGGTGGGCATGAGGATGATGATGTACATTTAGGTGTTGTGGGTTGTGGAGTTGTTGAATCTGTAACTGTTGTTGGTTGTGATGTTGTTGGCTGTGATGTTGTTGCTTGTGATGCTGTTGAATCTGTAACTATTGTAGGTTGTGATGTTGTTGGTTGTGGCGTCGTTGATTGTGACACTTCTGTTGGTTGTGTTGTTGTTGGCTGTGACGTCGTAGAATCTCTTACTGTTGTTGGTTGTTGTGTTGTTGAATCAGTAACTGTTGTTGGTTGTGTTGTAGATTGTGGTGGGCATGAGGATGATGATGTACATTTAGGTGTTGTTGGTTGTGGAGTTGTTGAATCTGTAAGAGTTGTTGGCTGTGATGTTGCTGAAATCTGTAACGATTGTTGATTGTAGTGTGGTTAAATCTGTCACTATTGTTGAGTCTGTTATTGTCGTTAGGTTGTGGTGTTGTTGAATATGTAACTATTGTAGTTGTGATGTTGTTGGTTGGGGCGTCGTTGATTGTGACACTTCTGTTGGTTGTGGTGTTGTTGGTTGTGGTGTTGTTGGTTGTAGTGTTGTTTGTTCTGGTGTTGTTGGTTGTGGTGTTGTTGGTTGTGGTGTTGTTTGTTGTGGTGTTGTTGGTTGTGGTGTTGTTTGTTCTGGTGTTGTTGGTTGTGATGTTGTTTGTTCTTGTGTTGTTGGTTGTAGTGTTGTTTGTTCTGGTGTTGTTGGTTGTAGTGTTGTTGGTTGAGGTGTTGTTTGTTCTGGTGTTGTTGGTTGTGGTGTTGTTGGTTGTTGGGTCGTTGATTGTGACACTTCTGTTGGTTGTGTTGTCGTTGGCTGCGACGTCGAAGAATCTCTTACTGTTGTTGGTTGTTGTGTTGTTGAATCAGTAACTGTTGTTGGTTGTGTTGTAGATTGTGGTGGGCATGAGGATGATGATGTACATTTAGGTGTTGTTGGTTGTGAAGGTGTTGAATCTGTAACAGTTGTTGGTCGCGATGTTGTTGAATTTGTAACTGTTG